TGAAGGCATAACGTAGGCCTTCACTCTGCCTCCAGTGATGAGTTTCCTTCAAATGACAGCATCTGGGACCTTTGGGCATTCTCAGGCACCATCCTGGTGACTCAGGAGATCTGACTGCTTTTCTTAAACCCTGCAGGTCCCAATTTTAGGAAAAGAAAAAAGTCTGAGCAGTTTTCAGTTTTGACTGGCTCATTTCACTGGGTTTCTTCCCACATGTCCTTTTATAAACTGGGGTAACTCTTTGATGGAACCCTCTTGTGTCAGAAAAAAATGCAATCAGATAGTATAAAGGCAAATCACTTGGAATAAAGTTGCATGGGAAAGCAAGGTACATTCCGATTGAGGACTTCCCTTAAGGTCTGAGAAGAGTGACCCTTTGGATGGAATGTTTCTTATTCTTCCTGAGTTCATTTCCTAAAGTATCAAATTGAATGGTTTGAATTGGTTTAAGACAGGGTCTCACTATGTAGCTACTGGCTAGCCTAGGACACAGTTTGCCTCTGCCTCCTGAGTCCTGATATTAATGGTATGTCCACCACACCTGGCCCTGAGGACTTTACAGGGTTTAATTTGGTTTGGGTGCTGGAGACTCAACAGAGGCTAGTATAAGTTAAACAAGCGCTCCATGGAACAACTCCCCATTCCCTGAATAAAACCAAACCAAACCCAGTCAGGCATGGTGGCACATGCCTTTAACCCAGCACTCAGAAGGCAGAAACTGCCCCCTTCATTCTAATTCTGAATGTTCTGCTCTCTCTCCCTCCTACCATATTTGTACTGCTATAATTACAATAGTTTGGCTTAGTGACTTCAATTTAGTGATATTCTAAAAATATCTGATCTTTTACTAATACTCAAAATCTAATGACTCCCGTTAACTTCCAGAGAAAGTCCAGGCTCGTTAGCAAGCTATTTATAATGCATTAAGATTGTTCCCTGCTCTGCCTTGTTACACATCTAGCCATTTGAAGCTTATGATTTCCAGAGTGCTTTCTGAAGCCTCCATCCGTAGTTTTAGAGCCACAGCTCCTTGTTTAGGACATTCTACATTGCTCCTTGAAACCTTAGCATTAGCTTGCCTGACTTTCAGTCAGCAGAGTACTCCGTTCCTTGTGTTCTGCTGCTCTGAGCACATGCCTGCCTCTATGTCATTTATCATATTGTGCTAATCCTTTTAGACGCTATCTCTTATGTTCCATGTCTTCATAGCAGAGGACATGTTAACTCTCTCGTGCTTAACATGACTTGGCACACAGCAGATATTTAACAAACGGCTAGCACATTTTGTGTTGATATTTTGTATTTGATGTAGAATGGTTTCATGACAGCTCGTAGTTTAGAAGGAAACAAACCTGACAACACTGGCATTAGACAATGAGATTAGAAGGTGAAATCAAGCAAGTGGATGCTTATGTTGGACATATCAGCCAACCACTACAGATTATCTACTAAGTTTCCTTTGTTATGGCTGTGCATTTCTCCTAAAGGCTGATTCATAACCCATGTTTATATTCTGGCTTAGAATAATCCTTTTATTTCAAGAAATAAATAACTGACAACTAGTATCAAGGACTCAGGAATGAGTTATTGAGTTTGTACAGATTCACTTAAAGCTATGGTAACATGCATCTTCTTGGCAGCGTTTCTGCACAGAAAATTACAGATCTGACTTCCCTATAAAGTCATCAGCGGATCCCCCCTGCCTCCACCTCCCAAACACTGAGATCAGATGCATGAGCCACCAAGCCCAAATCTAACTCCGATTCTGTTGGCAATTAGTTTGTTTGTTTGGGTTTTTTGTTTTCTGAGACAGGGTTTCTCTGTAGCTTTGGAGCTTATCCTGGAACTCACTCTGTAGACAAGGCTTGCCTCAAACTCACAGAGATCCTCCTCCTGCCTCTGCCTCCCCGAGTGCTGGGACTAAAGGCATGCGCCACCACAGCCTGGCTGGCTACCATAGCTTTTAAAAGCCTGAATATTCCTGTGTCTGCAGGAAACAGTTCAAGAACAGTCTGTTCTTATGTAAGGCTGCCAGAGTGATGCTGCTTTGGGCAGTGTCTGGATTATCTACATCCTAAATGCCAACTCTGTAAATTAAACCTGTCAAGTGCCAGCATTGCCATTGCGTGCATAGACAACCTTTAACATTTATTTATACTCCATTTCTTTCCTCTAGCCAGATTAAATTCTCCTTTCTTAAGCTATTTTTTGCTTCCTTTCAAACTGGCATAATTCAACATGTTCTAGACAGTCACATGGAAACTATAGCCCTACAGATTTCCAATTCCCAAATGATTTGTATTCAGGCTACAGAACCACAAGAAAAATTTTGCCAGGTTTTCTAAAAATAAGACTTCTCAAACTAGATTTCCTCAGGTACCAGCATGTGAATCACAGGATATGAAAATGATGAATTATTTGGGGCCATAGGAAGCTCTTTATTCAGTCTGAAGAAAATTATTTTATCACAAAGTAGAAAATACTATTCTCTTGATCACTTTCTAATGTACTCACTGAAATCCCAAATAAGTATTCTTTATATTAAGTTGCAAAGTTGTTAAGAAAACCTATTTTCATCTGGTTTGAATACTACCTCAGACATTTAAGTTTGAGAAGGGAAAGAAAATGCCTATAATAGAAATCAAAGAGCATTTTCATAACTGTTTTAAAATGTTGACTGACTCAATTTAATTTTAGAGAGAAACTATTACCTCTAGTGATTATATTGGATAAAACAATATCTTTACTTCAGCCAGGCATGGTGAGGAATACCTGGAATATGACCACTTGGGAGGTAGGATGAGAAAGGAACTCAGGGTCAGTCTCATTGTGAATTTGAGCACAGCCTTCATCACACGAGAAAGACCTTATGTCAAAAACAATACAAAAACCATAAAACCCAAAAGATACTTAATACTGATCCACCTGAGTTCATTCATTAATAGTTGTATCTATAATCTTCTATATGACTGAAAGTTTCTACATTGTCTAACTCTATGTAAAACACAATAGTCTTGCCGGGCGGTGGTGGCGCACACCTTTAATCCCAGCACTCGAGTGGCAGAGGCAGGTGGATCTCTGTGAGTTAGAGGCCAGCCTGGTCTACAAGAGCTAGTTCCAGGACAGCTAGGACTGTCGAAACCCTGTCTCGAAAGCAAAACAAACAAACGAACAAAAAAGATACATTCTTTCAGCAGCAAATAGGGCAAGGTGGTACTTTCTTCTCAAAGACAGGAATCCAGAGCTGACTCGCCCTGAGAGTTGGAGCCCGGCTTCTGGAGCTCAAGGACAGCGAACTGAACACTACATTTCAGCACTACCTGTGGTAATTACAGGATCTGGGGATTACAGAGCTCACAATTTGCATAAGGTCCACAACAAAACTACCTAAAACACTGGCTTACCTTTGCTTACCATTTGCTGAGCTATGTTAGCTCACCAAATTCCCCCTTTCCAAAAGGTTTCATTATCTCCTTTAGCTGCATTGACCGACCTTTGGGGTAAGATGGGCCAATTTAATGTGTCTAAGGATGCTATTATACAAGTCGGCCAAGCTATTCACTAGTTGATTCTGCCCATGTTTTTTCCCAAACTGAAGTTAATACTTACCCAAAGACACTGGTCATAAGAAAGGTTTTAATTCTGTAATACTGAATCTGTCTTCTGTTCAGTTTCCTGGTCTGATCAACTTCACTTTCCTGTCGCACGACTTTCCTTTTAATCTTCCTTTATTTTCCTAGGACTTACATAATATAAACGCTACCCCATTTTACCTCTATTTGTGAAGGGATATTGTGTGTCCAATTTCCTTGAGTTAAATGGATCCCCTAGGCAAGCAATTTTTAACGAAGATTTTTCATTACTTTAAAGGTCTAGCCTATTCTTTTCCAACAGCCTTTACTTTGCTTACAGTGTATTTAAGAAAGTTGAGGAACGATATGCAAGGAAGGTCTCTAAGTAGAAGTGCTAATAAATCCTAAAATGTGACAGAGAGGTCACAACTTGATTCTTATTTCTTCAATCTAATGTCTGGAAAAACGGGAAGCAAAAGACTTCAGTGTTGGAAAGCTGTGTTCTTCAAAACAGGTAAAGGTCCTGTTTATCAGTCCTAGACGACTGAGCAGGAAGGATTTTCAAATGATGAAAGCAGCCCTTGTATAGCACAGAAACAATTGTGCTACAGCTTCAATTAGAGGCCTACATTAAAAGGACACTGGAGATCAACAAAATGGGAAGCTTAGCTTTTGACGCAAAAAAAAAAAAAAAAAAAATCACACCAGTTCTTGATAATGCCAAGATTCTCAATTTTAAAAAGGCTTCCCTTTAGCGATGGCTAACCTTTCCTTATCTGTGAGTGAGCAGCAGTACAAAGGATGCATGTGATTTCGAAATGCCACAATCGAGCCAACTGCAGTTGCCAACATCAGCAGTTTGAGGGTATAACCTAAAAGAGAAAAAGGGGGGAAAAAAGGCTCGGGGGCAACAAGACTCAAAAAATGCAGACACGTCCCGCGTCCCATGGGCTAAACTCTGCGGAGAGCCTTCCCACGTGGAAGTGAGGGCGGTGACCAGAATCCCTCATCCCGGCCAGGGTTCGGCCTGGGCCCTGGAGCGGTGAGTCACCCGCCCAGCGGTCATGCGACATCAATATGGAGTGATGACGGAGATCTGGGGCGCAGGTGCCAAGGTAAACCGTTGGCCAGGGCGACGGAGCTATGGCTCCGGGCGACAGGGTTCCGCCTGCCGGAGCCGCGATCCAAGTCGAGGCGAACTCGAGGCTCGAGCCGCGAGCGCGTAGAGTGGCGAGGGAAGAGGTCGCACTCCGCGCCATTCATCAACCGGTTCGCACCGGTGGCGGCCGCCGCGAGTGACGTCGGCGGCCCGGGCCCCGCCCCGCGCCGCCAGCGTCCCGCGCCGTGATTGGCTGCCACCGGGGCGCACGTCGCGCCGGCTATAAAGGGGCAGGCTTGTGACGCAAGGGCTCCTGGGCGCGCGCATTGGCTCTGGGCTGCGGCCGGCTCGGCGACGCTCCTCGGGCAGCTCACTGCATGGTCGTCTGGTGCCCCCGCCGCCTGCATCGCCGCCGCCGCCGCCCCGCGACGCCCACCGCCGCCTGCCCTGCCGCCGCCGCCTGTGCCGCCTCGGGACCGGCTGTATGATTAGGCCACAATCTTCAATGAGTAGACATATTCCTGTGAGTCCCGCGGGCCCGGCCTTTGTTCGAGCGGGCCGGCTGTGTGCCGAGGGAGGGAGTGAGGGAGGCGGGCGGAGGCGCCGCCGCCGGCAGCGGGACCCGGACCGGGAGCGGTCGCTGGGGCCGAGGAGCCGCTTTGTGCTCGTGCGACCCCTGCGGCCTTTGTTCCGAGAAGCCGCGCGGGGCGTCGTGGACGTGGCCGGGGCGTGGCAGAGCGACGGGGACCGGGACCCGGCGCCCGGGGCCTCCCAAGATGGCCTCGGTGGCCGCCCGCGCTCGCCACCGCGAACCCGTGATTGCGGACCTCGCGGCTGTGCGCGCCGCGCAAGCCCGGGCTTGCCCGACCTCCGGCAGGCGTCGGTAGGGGCGACCGGGGTGGTGGAGGGGGTCCCTACCCGGTCCCCGCGGCGGGCTGCGCCTAAGGCTGCCTGCTCTTAAAGCAGGAGCAACAGGAGCCGGCCAGAACTGTGAGCGAGGCTCCTGTTGAGTGAGCAGCCCTGCACCATTCCGCCGCTGCGGAGCGGTAATTTCCTCGGTATAGGAACGATGTGTGCACTGGTGGTCTAGCTTCTGGGGTCGTGCTTCCTGGGTTGCTTTTTTTTCTTCTTCTTTTTTTCTCTTTGCTTCGCGCCGGCTTATGTTTGAAAACCGGAAAAGCTAGACTTATGCCAGAAAGAAACAGCGTTTTTACAACGCACTAGATTGGGTGCGTTACTTGAAAGCCGAGTGTATTTGGAACAAATTTGGTTAGAGCAGATGGTTCCACAGGCTGACTTGATTCTGCAGTCCGAAAGACTGACTTAGGCTAATGCCACACACACTTCCTTTCTATCTATGTTCGTGTGCTTTTAGTTTTTTCGTGTGTCTGAGATGCCTATAGCTTTTGCCTGTGAGGGAATGGGGCATATGAAAAGGTTGTCAGTGGTCACCACTTTTAATTGAAGTGTCCTCCAGCCACTGGGTGGCTCCACTCATTTTAAACCAGAATTTTTTTCCCTGATTTTCAGCTTCCTGGTGGAACTTTTAAGAGTTTGTGTGAACTTTAAGCTTTGTGTGCGTCCTATGTATAGTAAAAAAGGGCCAATTTAAAAAAAAAAAAAAAACTTGATGACAAGAAACTATGACTCAAATGTATAACAATAATTTCAGATTATTGATCTACTCCTTGAAGTAGTGATATCCTTACTGGTTAATTTAGGCAATCGGGATTTTAAATCCACTTGACAGTTAATATCTTGTGAGCACCCATTTCAGAAAACATGGAAATACGTTGTCTTGCTGTTGTGGTACCTTTTTAGTAAATGAATTAAGGTTTTACTTTGGCAGTTCGTTTTAATTATACATGTGAAGTGTTTGGGTCAGTGGTTGTCGTTGAGTGATAATTTGTTAGTGAGCACATTCCTTAGTTTTCTACACAAATTGCCTAGAGTAGTGGGCGTTCAAGCGTTTGTTAATGTTCATCTACCTCTACTCAGTTTATTTGAACCTGCTCTAACTGTAAGGCTGTACATGACTTATTTTTAGATGTTAAGATGACAGAAAATACAAAAGGGAATTGTGCTCATGACTTCATACTTAAGCTTTAGTGACTAAAATGTAAAGAATAATTATTGAGATATAATTAGACTAAAAATACTATACTCTTTAGAAAAACCATACAACAGATATCTCCTTTTATCTCAGTAGCTTAAGCATTAAATTAAAAGCAAAGAACTGATGGGCAGCTGAAATGGCTTTCTGTGAGTTCAGTAAATTATGCAGAAATCGAAAGCTTCAAACTACATGAAGTTTATATTAGTGTGTAAACAATAACTTAAGATTAATTAATGAAATCTATATATAGATGTGTGGGAATTCCACCAAATGTAGCAGTGACTTTCTTTGAACATTCTTTATAATTGATTAGCAATTTCCCTTTAATGGGCTTGTGACTGCATACTGTAGGCCTATTGATTTTAAAATTCAGTCACCTTGAATTTTGTAATTTGAGTAAAAGTTGATATCTTGGTGACTCTTAATTTGAGCATAGTTGTATACTTAGTGGAAAAGCATTACATGTTCCTTTTGAATTGGAAAATAACTTTTACCCCTCTTTTTATTCTTTTTCTTCTAAACAGCAGTTCTGTGGTGTTCTCGGTCACACATTTATGGAGTTTCTGAAGGGCAGTGGAGATTACTGCCAGGCACAGCACGACCTCTATGCAGACAAGTGAACTGTAGAAATTCATTACTACTCCACCAAGAAGCCCCCATAAGAGTGGATACCTGGACACAGACGTGTTGAATTGAAATCTGCAGAGCATTTTACAAGAGCTCAGACCTGGATGGGGTAGACCTCAGTGCACTTCCTTTGTATTGCCTCAGTATTACTGGATTGAAGAATCACTGCTTCTTGTTAGGAGGTTCATTTCATTGCCCATTTCTCCCAATTTCATACTAAAAGCACTGAGAATTTCAAGTGGAGTATATTGAATATTGAAGTAGACTTCAGGTTGTTTTCTTTTTGTTTGTTTTTGATTTTTTTTTTGCATCATTTCTGTATTCAATTTTTTAATTCCTTCGTAACCCTATTGGGTGTTTTTTTTTTTTAAACTAAATTAACATGGCTCGAATGAACCGCCCTGCTCCTGTGGAAGTCACATACAAGAACATGAGATTCCTTATTACACACAATCCAACCAATGCGACCTTAAACAAATTTATAGAGGTAAGTTACACTTTTTTACTAATTGGTTGCAGTTTAATAGTGGAACTAATCTGAATGATGTTGTATAGTTTTGGTACTCGGAAAGGAAATGTCTTTATGGTATTATGGTGTTGCACTTTGAGAACTATGCGTCTAGTTTGCTTAGTTAAATTTACAAGACAGGGATAGACTGCAGCTTAGGGATCTTTTTGTATCCTTTTCTCTTAGTGCAATAAACTACAATTAGTTGATGTCTTTACGTTCATTTGTACTTGGACTCTATTTTCCAGCTGGCAATTCTGCTGTTTTCTGCTCTTAGAAGGATTAATGCTAATTAATTTATCTGGGCGCACATTTATAAAGTATAAAAACCTACAGATAACTCAAAGGTAGCAGATAGGTGTCTCTAATTTTATAGGGGGAATATTTAAATGTTAAACTTTTTAATTTCCAGTTACATTTTTTTAAATGTCTTAGTTGAATTATAATTATATACTGTATCCTCAGTCAAGTCTGTGTGGTTTTTGGTTTTGTTTTATGCTGAATGGCTTTTTAAAATTGAAGTTTGGATTTGAGCCTTTGAAATTATTTCTAAAAGAGGAGGTAGATCAGTCAGTAAAGTCTCATGCATGCAGACCCAAGTCTCTTCCTCAGAACCTACAGTTAAAAAGCTAGCCTTCTTGGCAAAGTATAGGACAGTAAGATCATTTCTCAGTAAGACTAGGACCTGCAGTTGACATCTGACCTCCATATGCACCAAATACCCATAGAAACCATATCAAATGGTTTTTTTTTCACCCCTCTGAACTAAATATATGGTATCTAGTGGTTTGCCTCTGTTAAACATACATAACAGAGCCAGGCGGTGGTGGCGCATGCCTTTAATCCCAGCACTCGGGAGGCAGAGGCAGGCGGATCTCTGTGAGTTCCAGATCAGCCTGGTCTACAAGAGCTAGTTCCAGGACAGGCTCCAAAACCACAGAGAAACCCTGTCTCAAAAAAACAAAAAAAAACAAAACAAAAAAAAAAAACATAACAGATTCTGCAGGTCTTCATTGGCCAGCATGATCAAAAATGGTAGAGATGACAGAGCAATAATGATATGGTTTTAAAGACCTGAGTTGTTTTTTTTCTAGGAACTTAAGAAGTATGGAGTTACCACAATTGTAAGAGTGTGTGAAGCAACTTACGACACTACTCTCGTGGAGAAAGAAGGCATTCGTGTTCTTGTAAGTACTTAAGCTTTCGTGTATGTCTGTTATGCCACAGAAGCTTATTCAAATCGGACTTCAAGAAGCTCAGTTTTAAGTCAAGGCAAAATTAGCCCAGTTAGCCTGAAACTTGCTATGAAGTCAGCAACCCACTTGCCTCTCCTCCTGGGTTTTGAGAATACAGGACTACACCAATGTACCTAGCTAATTTAAAGGTCTAAAATATTTCTTTTTAGGACTGGCCTTTTGATGATGGTGCACCACCATCCAACCAGATTGTTGATGACTGGTTAAGTCTTGTAAAGATTAAGTTTCGTGAAGAACCTGGCTGCTGTATTGCTGTTCATTGTGTTGCAGGCCTTGGCAGGTAAGAAAAATCACCTAATTTCTTTCTAAATCAGTGGTTCTCAGCCTTCCTAATGTGACCCTTTAATACAATTCTTCATGTTGTTGTGACCCACAACCATAAAATAATTTACATTGCTACTTCATAACTTTAATTTTGCAACTATTATAAATCATGATTAAATATCTGAAGTGCAGGGTGTCTGATAAGTGACCTCTAAAGGATCCTGACTCACAGGTTGAGAACCACTGTTCTAGATAAAGTTCTGAATTGAAAGTACTAATACTTTATAAGATTCTCTCTTCTTTGGGTTTGAACCTGGTCCCTTCCGCATGCTGGACAAGTTCTCTAACAGTGTGCTATATCTCTAGCTTCCTGACCATCTTATTTTCAAACAGTTTCCCTAGTTGGTCTTGAACTCACTTCTTGGCTGTCTTGAAATTGTAATCTTCAGCTTTCCAGGTAGCTGAGATTCTAAGCCTGTAGTATCAAACTCAGTCCTAAAAAATTTAATAAAAGACTAATGTTGAAATGTTATATTGATATATTTTTGGATATGGGGGTATTTCAGTAATGAATTTTACAGGATTTAATTTTGAAAAATCGTGATTTGTCAAAATTTTTTACCTTACTAGAGCTCCAGTGCTTGTTGCCCTAGCATTAATTGAAGGTGGAATGAAATATGAAGATGCAGTACAGTTCATAAGACAGTAAGTCTCTTTAATGCCTGCATGTATTTTCTTATTCAATATCTGAATTAAGAAAAATCCAAATCTTCTCTGTCAATTATCTTGGTTTGGTTTTGGTATGTTTGAGTATTTTGTCTGAATGTATATTGTGTGCCTGTTGTTACTAACTATACTAAGTCCAGGAGAAAAGGACCTTCTCCAGCCTTTTTGCATTCATGCAGATGATTGATTGTTCAATGACTTGTTCTACTTTATTGACTCAATGTACTTGTTAATTTACATTTTGCTAAGGTATATGACTAAAGTTGAGGGGTGTTTTATTTGTTTTTGTTGGTGTGGTCTCAACATCATTCATTGAATAAAAGTCATAAAACCTGGTATATTCAGAAATCTCAGTGCTCTAGATAGCTCCCTTGACTTTGTCCTCTTCCTAGCTACAAGAAAGAACATCCTTCAATTAGCTTTCTCTTTCTTTCCAGAAAGCGGCGTGGAGCTTTTAACAGCAAGCAACTTTTGTATCTGGAGAAGTACCGTCCTAAGATGCGGCTGCGCTTCAAGGATTCCAATGGTCATAGAAACAACTGTTGTATCCAATAAAACTGGGGTGCCTGATGCCATTGTCTTGGAAGTGGAACTTCAGATGGGACCTGATTTGTCATACATAATTAGCCAACATGTTGGCTTATTGAATAAGTCTGCTGAAGCTTCCACGGGAATATTGAAAACCAGTCTTACCAGGCCACAAGCTTGACAGAATTGCATCCTCTATATTTGGGTTATGATCAACCTGTTTGGACACTTAGCAAAAGATCTTTGCTGTTCAGCATTTAAAATGTGCTTATTATTTGTACCAATTGACCCTTCCTAAAATATGGTATTGAGTTATGTCCTTATATGTACCATGTGCCAGAGTATTATTAGTATATAAGGAATTTAGAAAGATTAGGTGCCAAAATACCCATCACAATACCTATATATTTTTAGCATCGTACAGAACCAAAATTCCAGGAACTAAGAACACTCTAGACCTTCCATGGTTTATTCCTTCTGTCATTTCAAACACTGCAGGGCTTCTCGTTATCTGCCTGCTCACTCTATGTTTACATCTCCCACACTCATACCAGATTACATCAGGTTTGCTTAGCCATCAATTTTTTTTTTTAGCAAGTCTTGTGCTGTCTTTGTCTTTCTTTGTGATGTTATGGGAAACCTCCATTTGAAAATCGACTTTGTTACAGAAGCACATATCTTCAATAATGTCTCCAGACAAAAAGCCTTAGTTAATTTAACGTTTGCACTCAAAGGTACAACTTACGGGGAGGGCCTGGTAAAGAATGGGAGGAGGCTATTAATATTTTTATTAAAATGTTGCCTTTGTCTCATGCAGAACATGTAGAATATGTTCTTTAATTCAGTAAATATTTTTCAAGGTTATCTATACATTGTTATAGCTAGCCAATTCTTAATCAAAATTTCTGAAATTCTTTTTTCCATACCTATAAGACGTTGTTTTCCAACTTGCATGAATTATGGTTTTCCCATTCTCTTCCCAACCTCTCTTGCAAAAAAAAGAAGACATGGAATCTGCTAATGAACTGAGCAGACATATTTTATATGCCTTTTCAGCTGTGTAACTTAATAATTGGATACTTGATCATTTGTTTTATTATGTAATCGATAAAGTGGTGATGTGTATTAATGTTAGTTCAACCATATATTTATACTGTCTGGGAACGTGTGGTTATAGTTCTGTGGGAGAAATAATTTGTCAGTGTTCACCAGCTTGTAAAAACTTAGTGCAAGAGCTTCAACATCTAAATAAATAATGAAATGCATTTGTCACTGAGGTTATTTTGCTTAAAATTAACTTATTTTGTAGAAAACAATGGATTCAGTTAACATTTCAATTTATGAACAAATTTAGGGTTGTGAGCACTATTGAATACCAAGTGCTTTTACTATAAATTTTGCTCTTTAAAAGACCTAGAAAATTTTGAACCAATTGAATGTTGTGTACTAAGGGAAAACAGTTTGTAACAGATGATGACATTGATTTTTAAGATTCATTTCCATCAGTCAAGTAGTTATGAGCAGTTTCCCATCCAGTTTTCTCACTTTTAAGTTAATTACATGCCTGTATATATTTTGAAATTACTTTGAACCTGAGTATTTGGCACATGATGACTTAATAAATTTTAACTTTCAATAATCTGAAATGTTTCATTTTCATAGTTTATGCTCATGTTAAATGAACAGGATTTGTTTTAAAATGGTACAAATGGAAATTGAAATTTTGATTGAAAAATGATATCCTATAAAAATTTACTATTGCCCTTTTGTGCAGTCTAGCACATAAATGACACAGCCCATAAATAAGCATTTGTTCTCACTAGGAGAGGAAAGGTGCTCCTGAATAAACATCTAAGTTTGAAATTTTGAATTTATTGAAATTGTATGGTGCTAAAAGTCACTTTGCTCTATAAAATTACCTGTGCATTATAAACTATGATATTGGCTCTTTAGTCAAATATTTTGTATCTGTAAATACAGCGATACCTATGATAACATTCAAAAAATACCTTGGGTCTGATAACAATTATAAGCTGAGTTATAATTTTTAATATTGGTGGATGTTATAAAATTTACTTTGGGGGACTGGAAATACAGCTCAGTAAGTAGAGTCCTCACCTAGCAACCAGGAAACCCTGAGTTTGGTCTTCAGCACCACACAAATGAGACATAGTAGTTAGTATATAGGGATCAGGAATCCAAGGTCATCCTTGGCAACATAACCAGCCTGGTATACATGGAGTGCTGTGTCTAACTACATAATTTGCTTTCTTGAGTTTTGGTCCCTTTAATAGATATTAGTAGTGATTAATCTGTATAGGAATTATGATGCTCCTGATACAAGTGATGTGATTACTGAATCAGAAGATGCAGTTTCCTATTAAAGGAAAGCCCTAAAAGTAGATACCAAAATCATCCCTCCACACTCAGACACTGCTTTCCAGGACATGTGATGAAGTTCAGTATGTTGTGAGTAGATAGGTGGTTCCATAGATAACCTACTGTAATCGCAATCTCTGGGTCAGTTTTGTTACACTCATCTGGCCAATAGCTACTCCAGACATTTAAGAGTACTGCAAAGGATGTAAAAGATGGCACTACCAGATGCTCATTAATTATCCCATACCTTACCAGTAACCTAATTCTTCATGTTGAACTTTAAGGAAATGTTATTGATAAGAATGCTTCAAGTGGAAGTGACGATTTTTTTCCTTTTAAATTTGTAAATGAAAGGCTAAAATATAGAGTATCTAATATGTTCCACATTTTCTTTTAGGTAGCTACACAATATTGAAAGAAAAGTAGAATGTGTTCATTTCCAATAGATTGAGCCCGTTTATGCATTCACAATAGAACCGACAGTAATATAATTAGATTCATATTGCCATATTAATCAGATAATGTGCAGATAGCTGTTAATAGCTGCCAATTAGTAATTCACTGTCAAGTGGGTTTTTTTGTTTTTGTTTTGTTTTTGGTTTTTCGAGACAGGGTTTCTCTGGTTTTGGAGCCTGTCCTGGAACTAGCTCTTGTAGATCAGGCTGATCTCGAACTCACAGAGATCCACCTGCCTCTGCCTCCCGAGTGCTGGGATTAAAGGCATGCACCACCACTGCCTGGCTTGTCAAGTGTTTTTCTTTTTTTTTTTTTTTTTTTAAGTGACGGTAGTATATACAAAATCAAGTGTTTTTCATAGTTGAGTTTATATAAGGGGTTTATATGGTTTATTGCAGCTTTCTGCATACAGGTTGTGAGCCTCCAGTTATGTAACTAATACATATTTGAAGCTGAGCATAGAGCTCTGCACTTCTTTAATCCGCAGGCAGATCTTTGAACTCCAGGTCAGCCAGAGCTACGTAGGTAGGGAGAGCCAGTCTTTATTTGACCCTTAAGTATATCAAGCCATGCAGCTTATGTAAATAGATAAATGCAATACACCATGCACGAGACTTTGTCTCAAAAAACGAATAAAATGGAGGGGGAGGAGTCAGGAAAGGAATCCATATTCACTGAGTGTGATGATCATCTGTACCGATGATAACCTGCAGCCTGACCCACTGCTTTTAACACTTAAAATATTGTGAAGTTTTATTTACATTAATTTTTTTCCATAAAAGATACATTTATTCTGTATGATCAGAGAAAAGATGTTTTGAAATGGAGAATCTGATTCATTAAAGAAAAATTGAAGTCTTTGTTTGTGAGTTGGGTTTTTTTTTGTTTTTGTTTTTACTTTTGAGATAGGGTTTCTCTGTAGCTTTGTTTTGTTTTTCCGAGACAGGGTTTCTCTGCTTTGGAGCCTGTCCTCACAGATATCCACCTGCCTCTGAGACAGGGTTTCTCTGCTTTGGAGCCTGTCCTCACAGATATCCACCTGCCTCTG